TACAGCTCCATCTACAGGGTCTGCAGTGATATGACAACAATTCACAAATGCAACTGTTTATTTCAACGAGTCATTCACAAGTTACCGTATTTTTTCCCCAATAGGACGCACTTTTTCCCTCCAAAAATGAAGGGGAAATGTGTGTGCGTCCTATGGGCGAATGCAGGCTCCTTGGCTTCAGCGATAGCAACGCGAAGCCTCCGAAGCCTGCACTCCGGAGGCTTCGCTTTGCTTTCGCTGAAGCCAGGAGAGTCTGCTCTTTGAGGCTGGCGGTGGGGTAAAGCAGTGCTTCCCCCCACCGCCAGCCCCACAAGCTGAGCGGGGCAGCGGGAAGGCGTGCGACGCCTTAGCGCTGCTCCCCGACCCGGCTTTGAGGCTGGCGGTGGGGGAAAGCAGCGCTTCCCCCCACCGCCAGCCCAACAAGCTGGGTCAAAAAGCCCGCAGGAGCCGTGCACCCTTTAAAGAGTGCGCGGCTCCTGCGGGCTTTTCCCCAAGGAAGGAGAAGGGACTGACTGGCCAAGTCAGTCCCTTTTCCCTCCTGCGGGCTTTTGCGGGAGATGGGGGAATTCCCCCACCTCGCGCAAAAGCCGCGCGCTCTGTAAAGGGGCTGCACGGCTTCTGCTGGCTTTTCTAGGAGGTGGGGGAATTCCTCCACCTCCCGCAGAAGCCCGCAAAAGCCGTGTGCTCTTTAAAGGGGCTGTGCGGCTTCTGCGGGCTTTTCTACGAGGTATGGTAATTAATAACTACCATAACAACAAAACTTCACCAAAACGCTTCCCACAACTGTTCACCTGTAACCTCCGAAATCGCCCCCCTGTGACGTCTTCCGCTGTGCTGTAAGAAAGTATAAAAATCTGTGTCTTCTTTTGTTCGGGGTTCTCCTTCCTTCGTACTACATTGGGCGTTTGGGAGCAGGAACCCCTGTTGCAACTGTGCATTTTGCAATAAAGGATCAGGCGTAATCGCCGCTTTGCTTTGAATTACATCTGGTTGATCTCTGTCATTTTATCTCTGACTGGGGGAACCTCATTGGACGTTATACGCTTCCTGGACCCTTACGGGGCAGGGAATTAATGGAAAATCAGTTGCTCTTAACAGTAGCCAGCTCTACTTCTCCTTTAAATCGGAACCAGTGAAGGTACTGTGTGAGTGTCTGGAGGTGGTTGGAGTATGGATAGCAGTAAACAGATTGAAGTTGAATCCCAAGAAGACAGAAGTACTGTTCTGGAGGGATGGGGATGGGGAGTGTGTGGGGTTCCTGGTCCTGAATGGGGTAACTGTGCCCCTGAAGGACCAGGTGCACAGCCTGGGAGTCATTTTGGATTCATAGCTGTCCATGGAGGCACAGGTGAATTCTGTGTCCAGGTCAGCCGTCTACCAGCTCCATCTGGTATGTAGGATGAGACCCTACCCGCCCATGCACTGTCTTGCCAGAGTGATACATGCTCTGGTTATCTTAGGCTTGGACTACTGCAATGCATTCTATGTGGGGCTATCTTTGAAGGTAACTCGGAAAGTTTAACTACTCCATAAGACGAGACAAGGATGTCCTCTTTCTCCATTATTATTTAATCTCTGCCTGGAACCATTAACAAGAGCAATAATTCAGGATGAGCATATCAAGGGTGTAAAACACAACTAAGATAATTACAAAATTGTATTATTTGCGGATGATATCCTTTTATTTATTACAAAACCAGAAGATACAACTCCAAAAATTATAAAAAACTTTGGCAGAATATCGGGATATTCTATAAATTGGACAAAATCAGAGATTTTACCAATTGGGCCAAGGGCTACATTGTATAGAAACCAGCAATTTCAGATGTGGAAAGACTTTATTAAATACTTGGGTATAATGATTTCATCAGATATAGACCAAATTGTAAAATTAAATTTGAATCAAATTATAAATGAGATTTCTTTTGATATTGAAAGGTGGGGACCTCTAAACCTCTCCCTTTGGGGAAAGGTTAATGTCCTCAAAATGAATGTTGTTCCAAAGCTTTTATACATTCTTAGAGGATTACCAATACATATTCCCAAATTTTACTTCCAAAAAATAAACTATTTATATCGTGCCTGTGGGTTACAAAGCCACAAAAAATATCACTACATAAAATGCAACTTCCAACTAAGGAAGGTGGCTTTGGTCTCCCAAATCTGGAACTATATCACCAGGCATACCTGCTGAGTAAGACTAATGATTGGAGATCTAGCAGGAATCCCAACTGGGCTACTCTCGGATATAGATTCTTTGAATCTCTTGTAGGGTGGACTAAACTTGGCTCCAATTTTATGAAATATCCTATTATCCTGGAGACTATTAAAGCACCTATAATTTTTTTGATGAATATAAATAAAAATAATAAGGATGACCCCTATCGACATGAGAAATTAACAATATGGACCAACCCAAAATTAAAAATTGGAAATCAATAATAATTTGGCAAAACCGGATGAAAAAAGGTATTTTGACATTGTATCAATTAATTGATGAAAATTACAAATTTGTGGAATACAAGACTTTGCAAGTAAAGTATGGATTAACCAGTGAAACACAATGGCAATACATCCAATTGAAACATATGTTGGAAAGGCAGTTTGGCCCTGACGCTATAGCAGCATTGGAAACACCCATGCTGCTACAAGATTTAATCTCTGCAACAAAAACAAAAAACTCTACACTTGCACTATATAAAACCCTACTCAACTGGAAGAAATATGAATTAGAATATGATAGACAAAAAATGGAGTGAAGAGTTAGGAGTACAGATAACAAATGATATATGGGAGTCAAGTATAAAATCAACAGAAATAGCCTCTATGGATCTAAGACTAAAATAATATGTTCAGAGTCCACTGGACTCCAGCAAAATTATACCATAAGAAAATAACAAGTACAGACAACTGCTGAAGATGTGGGAGTAAAAATGTGAACTTAGTACATATGATGATTAACTGCCCGATGATAAGATCATTTTGGTGTGAGGTGAGGATATTTATAGCAAGAGTAATAAAAAGAAATTGTTATTTAGCGAAATTAAATTTAATTCTAAATTATATTCTGGAAACGTGGGAGATTACAAGGGGTCAAAAAAAATGGATGTACCATGCTATATTAGAAGCAAAAAAACTTGTTTTGATGAATTGGAAGAGCTGCAGAAAGATTCCATTGAGCACATGGATTGATAATATGGACAGATTAGCTACATACGAACGAATTGCATGTCGACGCAAATTAAGAATGGATAAATATGAAGAAATCTGGAAGGAATATTTAAGTGATAAGGCGGATAAGTGGTGGGAAGTAGGGGGAGGAGAGAGAGGCGGGAAAATATTGTTTAAAAGGTATAGTCATAGGTATATTAGTGTATGCAAATCTGAATTGTCAAACTGTGTTATTAGTGTTATTATGGTTTTTGTTGTATGTGTCTTTTGCGATTGTTGTTTGTATTGAAAAAATGATTAAATAAATTTTAAAAAACAAAAGTACTCCATAATGCTGCAGCTAGACTAGTGACTGGGAGTGGTTGCCAGGATCATATAACACTAGTCCTAAAGGATCTACACTTGCTCCCTGTACATTTCCAAGCACAATTTAATATGTTGGTGATAACCTTTAAAGTCCTAAATGGCCTCAGCCCTGTATACCTAAAAGAGTGTTTCCGCCCTCATCTTTCAGCCCGGACACTGAGGTCCTCCTTCGAGGGTCTTCTGGTGGTTCCCTCATTGCGATAAGTGAGGTTACAGGGAACCAGGCAGAAGGCTTTCTCGGCAGTACCGCCCTCCCTGTGGAACGCCTACACAACTTTTAGAAGACAGCCCTGTATTGAGAAGTTTCTAATGTTTGATTATGTTTTTAAATGTGTTTGAAACTGCCTAGAGTGGCTGGGGCAACCCAGCCAGATGGCCAGGGTAGAAATAATAACATTGTTGTTATTGTTGTTGTTCACATTCTCAGTTGAACCATTAGCTATTGAACCAACAGCATGGAGATAAAAGGAACAAAAATAAAAAGGAAATGCACAAAGTAATGCTTTTTTGCAGATAATATAGCAATTATGCTATCCAATCCAAAAGCTGCAATGCCTGTATTAATGAAACAACTAAGTAATTGTGGTAAAACACAGGATTAAAATCAACAAATCCAAATCAGAAATAATGTACCGTATATACTTGAGTATAAGCCAACCTGAATATAAGCCGAGACACCTAATTTTACCACAGAAAACTGCGAAAACGTATTGACTCGAGTATAAGCCAGTTCACCACACCACAAACCTGCGGGTGGACCAGAGTGTGTGTGCACACATGGCAGAGGGGGCTTCTCTCTCCCCCTCCCATCCCCCTGCCTATCTAGGGTGCTGCCGAGAGGCAGAGGCAGGTGGCAGCAGCAGAAGAACAAGCAGCCTGAAAGGGCTGCTTTCAGGCTGCTCGTTCCTCCTCCACCACCACTGACAGCGAGCGGCTGCTGGAAATGCGCTCGGGTGGGACCCTCACTCAAGTATAAGCCGAAGGAGGCATTTTCAGCATAAAAATGTGCTGAAAAAGTTGGCTTATACATGAGTATATACGGTATATGGGCATTTCCTCTAACCAATCATTCAAAAATGGATGAGTTTTAAAATTTGCCATGAAGTAATAAAATATTTGGGAGTGCAGATAAATAATAATCTATCAGCTGTAAAGAAAGACAGCTTCACATCATTATTTTTACAGATATGATGGGATTGTAGATCTTGGAAAGATGTAAATTTATCAGTCAGAACGCGTAACCGCTTTAAAGACGGTTGTCCTTTTGAATTTTTTGTTTCTCATTCAAGTGCTGCCAATTATGATTGCAGTGCTCAATAAACAAGTTTATTTAGGAAATTAAAACAGAGGGATAGCTCAAAAAGGGACATTTCTGTGAAAATTATAATAATAATTATTATTCATACCCTACCTTTTTCCCCTGACAGGGACCATCTTGCTCAAACAGAAACAGGAGAAAAACATAAAACACGCATACACACTATTTATTTAAAACATACAGATTATTACAGTAAAAACTACACAGCAGCAGCCCTTTCCTTAAAAACATACAAGTTTTCAACATCACGATAAATCACCAGCTAAACATCACAATATTTTGATATATCACAATGTTGAATTGAATTGATTTATTATGGTCACAGACCGGAAATTATCATGGTGTCTGAAAACAGTTTTGTTACTCATTAAAATGCACTTTTGTTACTCATTAAAATCTTTAAATAAATACATATTTTTTAAAAAATATTCCTCTTATTTTCTGAAGAATAGCTTGATAGTTCATAATAGACTGTAAGAATCAATCTATTGTTTCCATTAATGCCTTACTTTCTCTTGAGGAGCATGGCAAATGCTACTTTCGATGAAAAGCTTCAAGCCTTGTAATCCTTGGGAGTAGAGAAATTCCTGGTACCATCCCCACCTTGCCCCCTGCAAATAAAGCATTAGGAGTTAAATCTCTTCAGATACAATGGCTTTTTCTTTTTTTGGGCCACAAAGTGTCCTCTCATTTCCTACCCTAGCTCTCCAGCACCTGAACTTGCAGACCAATCCACACTGCAAAAGCCCAGCATACCCATGATGCTAATATGCTGCGACACAAACATGGTCTTTGTGGTGAGGAATAAGCTATCACCATGCAGCCCCTTCATGAGCCAGTTCACATAGGGCAGTTTCAATTAGCTTTTAGATGGGCATACCTCTTTGCAGTAGAGGAGAGCTCCTACAAAGAATGAACATCTCTTGATGCCAGAATTCCCTCTTTGAAATTTTATATTCCAACTGGTACTGGAAACCAGGCAACAAAGAGACCTAACTGAGATCCCCTAGCCTTGGGGAACAATTGCATCTTTATGCCAGTTCCATTTTCAGACCAGAAATAAAAACTTTTTCAGGTGTAGTACTTGCCACATTCAGATATGTGGGACCAACTGTTTGCTACTGAGCAATTCCTTTTCATGGGAAAATACATGGTGGAAAAAGCTAGAAGACGTAGGTTCCTCAGCAGCACAGGTTATCAGCCTTGTCACAGAAGCAAAAAATTATAGAGTCGGAAGGTACCCTCTCCTAACCCCTCCCCTTTCTCGACATTTTAGTTGTTCCTTCTTCTGTGGCACTGGCCCAAATCCCAGCTCCAACTGACAACCAGCTTCCCAAGAAACATAGCGTTTTGTCAAGCATGCCACTTTACCCGAATGAATTTGAAGTTCAGGGTTGTGTCCTCTGGTTGCATCTGAAGAGAAGGGGGAGGGGGGAGAGAAACGTGTTAGAAATTAATGGTTCTCTAAGACTAGAGCTTTTAAAAGAAGAGTTATTTGAAATTATTAGAGATTAACTCTAGAATCAGCCTCAGACTAGCCTTCCTGAAGATGACATGGCACAACTGAAACACTAAATGCCTTTTGGACAGCATCAATGCCTCAGAGCTGCTCCACAAAACTACTACATGATAGGTCTTGAAAAATTCACATCTCTGACATTTTGTAGTGGGCCTGTACAGGTTGAAACAACATGCACTGCTCTTTCGGTTCAACACATGGAAGCCCATCGAAAGAAGCAGCCAAACACATACCAGTGCTGCCTGGGGAGAAAATGGCTCTGATAATTTTGCTATCAGCTAATCTTCAGTTGTACATCAGCACTCTCTGATGAACTGAACAGCAAATTTCAGTCTAGTATGTCTTCCAAAGGCAGAAGACCACATCATCTCCTAGATAAGAAGCCACACTTCAGTTGAACAGCACATGCTTTGCATGAAGATCCCAATTCAATCTCTGGTTCCAGGTAGGGGTAGGAAAAAGACACTAGAGAATTTGGCAATGCGAACAATACTGACAGATGGATTAATGATCTGACTTGGTGTAAGGCAGCTTAAGTTTTTGGATATCAGTAAAGCTGCCTGAGTAGGAGCAAGCAGTTACCAGGTCCAGAGCCCAAAAGCTGCACCAAAGAGAAAAGTTCAGCTTCCACTTTCACTGAAGCACAATGAAATAAAAGCTTACACTGGGGACAAGTTTTACCTTCTATGCTACTTTTAAAAAGCTGTGGGCAAATACTTAGATACCACAGAGAGACACATACACACACAAAAAGCTTGGAAAACAATGTTTCAGAGGCAGACTTATCAAGAAAATGGAATCAGAAACAAATAAGGTGCAGGTTCTTGAACCAAGACTACTAAACTTCTAAAAAAGGCCGATGAAGCAAAGAAAAAGAGAAAGAAAAAAGCCCGGTTATGGACAAAGTTACAAGCAGATCAAAGAAAGAGGTCTGGTTGTGGTATGAAAATGAATCCACAGAAGGGGCAACAGGTATAATAAATCGTATCACATTGTCTTCTATTGCAACAAAGAATTGTACTGAAGTTTGGTACTCCCTGCACACTGATTTGGGTAGCTGCTAACAGTTTGCTTCCTGGAAATAAAGCAGTAGTAGCTCCTGGAAGCTTTCCAGACCAGATATAGGAGGCTGGTCTCCCATTTTGAGAACTGCTGGTCAAAAAAAAAACAGACAGGGGGTACTGTTTACCCTGACAGGAGAGAGTGCACCTACTGATGAACCTGGAACTTCATCTGGCAATTCGTTTGGTTTTATACTTCACCAGACATTGCCCAAATACTCAGGCATATTTTTGCAATGGCAAAGGCTGGAAACTTGCTTTAAAAAAAAAGAAAAAAAAGGAACAAACAAGACTGAGGTGAAGTCAAATTCTGCTAAATTACCAAAACAGACCAATGGTCCATTTTGTTCTGTATTGTTTACATTGATTGCAACCACTCTCCAGTTTTCCAGACATAGAGTCTTTTCCTGTCGTATGTGGGGAATCCAGTGCTTGAAACTGGGACTTTCTGCATGAAAAACATGTGCTCTACCACTGAGGTATGGCCCCTCCCATATCCCATATCTTTAGTACACTTCTAAGGAAGAGAGTTGGTAATGATTCAAGGAGGAGGAGAAGCCTTCCTTTAAACTCGGGGTTCCAAAGAATGGAGCCAGAATGACTTGGAACTGCAAGGAGATCTCTTTTGTCTTTGCTAGTTGTTGCCAGAGGCTTGGCACTAAGCTTTCACGGTTAAATGGAGTGGTGAACCCAGGTCTCCCCATTCCTCCCTGCACAGTACTTATTCTTAATAAGCCCATGTACAGCTTGACTTTATATGGCATGGTAGAAGGTAGGCCATGGTGTGCCAAAGGCTGGAGTTTTAAAGGACACAATGCAGACATCATAGTAACTAACAGTGATCATACACACTCATGCTCAGTAGTCCTCAAGTATTACAGTGTTAAAAATAATTGGAAATGATTCTACTTGAAAAATGCAAACTGCTCTCCTCACCTTCTTCAAGAAGAGCATAGCATATCCCATCAGTGCAGGGTGGAAAACTACATTGAAGCCCTTCCTGTGGTTCTTCACCCTTGTCATCTCCAGCACTTCTGGGTCCAGCTGAATCCCCTGAGGGCAGGGGGACTCCTGGAATGCTTGTGAGGTCCACAGATACCCAACTATGGTTGATAGGTATCGGTTGTATTCCTGGCAAATCTGGTGGCTGAACTTGAACTGCAGTAGCACATGGTAAGACATAACATGACAATCTAGACAATGTTTCAGGTTCACGATAGCTCCACATCATCAATTACTAGCAAGAAGTATCGCTCCAAAATGCATTCTGTCCACTCCATAATAATTACAGAATACCATTGATCAATCAACTAAACATCAAGCTTGAGCAGCTTGTGACCCACTAAGACAAATGTAGCACCACCATGTGTGTATACTATTGTGGATTGCCAGGTTCTTATGACTGAAGCATAACGGGAGGTGGTGGGGGGAGAGAAGAAAAGGAAAACATGTTAAATCTTTGCTTGACACTGAATGAAGTCAGATACATGCTATGTTTATAACTAAACCAGATGCATAAAATTTGCAAGCCACCTACTGGCAGTTTGGAAACAAGATCAAGAAGAAACAATGACTTGGGATGAAGCTTACTTGTGTGGGTGTCCCCCTCCCACCCCATTTCCAGCACCATATACGGCCATTAGAATCACACAGAACCATCTATTTTCCTAAAGTCTGTAGAAGAGATTTTTCTGACAATATTTCTTGGAGCTTTATGATGAAGAACCTCCGGGGGATGGGGGTAGGCCAAGGGTTTGAAAATGGTATAGGTGCAATATACTCTGAACAAAAAGCAAAGTTGATTGTAAATAATGTGGTTACGGAAGAATTTAAGATAGAAAAAGGGACACGTCAGGGATGCCCAATCTCTCCATTACTTTTTATATCAGTCCTGGAGGTTTTGCTGAACATGATCAGAAGGAACCAGTTGGTTAAAGGAGTGCAGGTCGGAGCTAAACAGTATAAATTGAGAGCATTTGCAGATGACTTGGTACTTACACTACAAGAGCCTGAATCTAGTACAAAAAGGGTTTTGGAATTAATTCAAGAGTTTGGTCAAGTGGCAGGATTTAAATTGAATAAGTCAAAAACTAAGGTACTGGAGAAAAATTTAACACCTTTTGAAAAAGAAAGGTTTCAGAATGAGACAGGGTTAACTGTGGTTAAGAAAGTGAAGTATTTGGGGATAAATATGACAGCTAAAAATGTGAACCTATTTAAAGACAATTATGAGAAATCTTGGACAGAAGTGAAAAAAGACTTAGAAATTTGGTCAAATCTGAAGCTTTCCTTGTTGGGTCAAATTGCGGTTATAAAGATGAATGTATTGCCTAGAATGTTGTTTTTGTTTCAAACATTGCAAATAGTGGACAAGATGGACTGTTTCAAGAAGTGGCAGAAAGACATTTCTAAATTTGTCTGGCAGGGCAAGAAGCCCAGAATAAAATTCAAGATTTTAACTGATGCAAAGGAAAGGGGGGGATTTGCCCTGCCAGACTTCAAACTTTACTATGAATCAGCAGCTTTCTGCTGGTTGAAAGATTGGCTACTACTGAGAACACAGACATTTTGGATTTAGAAGGTTTTAACAATACTTTTGGGTGACATGCATATCTGTGGTATGACAAGGCCAAAGCTCATAAAGGTTTTAAAAATCATATTGTCAGGAAAGCACTATATAATGTCTGGACTAGATACAAAGATTTGTTGGAAAACAAAACTCCAAGGTGGTTGTCGCCAATGGAGGCAAAAGCTGTTAAAAAGCTTAATATGGAGTCTAAATGGCCGAGATACTGGGAAATTTTGGAACAAGAAGGGGACAGATTGAAATTGCAGAGTTTTGAGAAATTAAAAGGAAAAGTGAGAGATTGGCTTCATTACTACCAAATAATGGAGGTTTTTAAGATGGACAGGAAAATTGGCTTCCAGGTGGAAAAATCAAAATTGGAGACTGAACTGCTAGAATCTAGTACTAAAAATCTGTCAAAAATGTATAACTTGCTGTTGAAATGGAATACACAAGATGAAATGGTTAAATCAGCAATGATTAAGTGGGCACAGGATATTGGTCACAACATCATGTTTGCTGACTGGGAAAAGTTGTGGACCACCGGGATGAAATTTACGGCATGTAATGCCCTAAGAGAAAATATTATGAAAATGATTTATAGGTGGTACATGACCCCAGTCAAGCTTGCAAAAATTTATCACTTGCCTGATAATAAATGTGGAAATGCAAAGAAAATGAAGGTACATTCTTTCACCTTTGGTGGACATGCCCAAAGATTAAGGCGTTCTGGGAAATGATCTATAATGAATTGAAAAAGGTATTTAAATATACCTTCCTGAAGAAACCAGAGGCCTTTCTCTTGGGTATTGTCAGCCAAGGGGTGTTAAAGAAGGATAGAACATTTTTTATGTATGCTACAACAGCAGCAAGAATACTCATCGCAAAGTATTGGAAGACACAAGACCTACCCACCTTGGAAGAATGGCAGATGAAGGTGATAGACTACATGGGCCTGGCAGAGATGACGAGCAGAATCCGAAACCAGGGAAGAGAAACAGCGGAAGAAGATTGGAAAAAATTTAAGGACTATCTAAAGAAATATTGTAAAGTTAATGAATGTTAAAATGACGCTGGATTAGAAAATATGTGGTTATTAGCGGTAATGGATAAGTTAAAGAGAAAAAGTAAGATTAAAATTAAGTTAAAAATAAGGGAAGGATTTGCTGAAAAATTAGTTAGAAATTGGAATACAGAAAGGGGAGGTACGAGGAAGTCGGGAAAGTAAGTTATAAGAAATTAAGGGTTGAATTTATATGTGTTTTTATATATATATGTTTGTCATTTTTATTGTATTGTATTGTTTTTTTTGGTTGTTATAAAAAACTTTTGAAACTTTAATAAAAATTTATAAAAAAAAAGAGAGAGATTTTTCTCTTTGACTAGATATGCACTGAATCTTTGAAAGTCCAAGAACATCTCATATGGGAGAAGAGATGTGAAAGATAAGGGAGGCAAGTTTTGTCAGTGAAATTATATTAAATTTCAGATGGAGCCATTAAATATATTTGTTCCAATCCAAGCATTTGCCATTAAGCACCTTATCTGCAGTACCTTTTTAATCTCGGGTTTTTGTTTTGCAGCCACCAGGTTGATTCGATACCTAAGTAAGAATTAAAACAGACGATTATTCTGAATTGTAATATACCATATGTGCGCAGAATGAATCTGTGTAGTGGCTAAAGAAATCCCTTGCATGAGTCTTGATTCTTAAACTCACTAGGTGGTCTTTGGCAAAGCCAGTTTCTCTTAATTTCTGCTCCCTCATTTACTGTGAACAGTTCTACAGGGGGGGGGGTTGTTTTAAGGACCACAGCTAGATAAAGCATGTGAAGCGCTTTGAACACATGACAGTGCCATACAATTATTACTATGCACAGGCGAGCAGTGACTATCCCAGAGTACACAGCTATCTTTCACTTAGCATTATGAGGCAGCAAGATAGCACATATCTTTTCTCATTTGGTTCCATTTCTTGGGTTATGTTACATAAATCTCTCTCTTGCTTACCTACCACATGTCCTTGCAATAGGAGAGCCATCTACAGAGTAGACTTTGAGAGAAAAACACAGACGCCATGCAGAACAGTTACTAATCACCCAATAGAGAACATGCTGAATTTGGTCCTGAATATAAAGAGATTCAATGAGTTCAAGGGGCACTTTTCACCATTCAGAAGCAACTGTTACTTAGAAAGAAAGACAAACACTTGAATGGATGCTCATTTCTGTTCACAAGGGTGTGTGTGCGAAAAGAAACTGTTGTGCATGAGCTGTAAGCATGAGACAAAAAGGTGGAGCACGACCTCAAGCAGCAAACAGCAGCACTGACTCCTTGTTCAGTCACTATAGAAACTGGAAGGAAATAGAAGTATAGGTCCTGGCAGCTGCTCTGTATAATAGACACTAGTTTCAGTGCATCTTCAGCAACTGCATCCTTCCATATTAATTACTCTGCAGCTTCCTCAAGCAGGAAGCTGCACAGAGCTCTACACCAGCTGACAACAATTGGCTACTTCTCACATCAGACACAACTGCTGGAACTAATGTTAAGAATGGCACTCTTATGTAGCATTTCCTGAAAAGAACAGGACATTTAAAAAAAAAATCACCCAGATGCATAACTGGCCTCAAAGGCTTGGACTTTTGTTAGTCAGGAATCAGCACAGCAATGCCATCCCAACACATATCACCTGTTTGAGACTCTGGGTTAAAAATTTGACTACTGGGTTAAAAATTTGATTCAAAAATCAGAATAGCTTCATCAGTGTCACACAGGTAAGTGTATGGGTTATGCAACAGAGAAGCTCAGTTCAGTTGAATTTCTGCATATGCCCCACAAATGTGTGTGTAATTTAGCTTTGCTCTGGGCAATGAGGGTATCATCAGTGGCAGAGCTTCATGCTCCGGCACTGGGGGCTGGAGAGCAGGTGGGGGCGTGGCACCCAGTGCGGGTGGGGAGGCAGCTCCCCCCGCACTCCTCTTCCTCTGCCAATGGGTATCATTGTAGTCACTAAAGAATAATATGAGCCAGCCTGATATAATCTGGCATGCCAGTCACAAATACAAGGTTCCCATCAACTGCAAAATCCAATACCACATCTAACACAAGTAACATTCCCAGTTCAGTCAGTAATCTCCTACTTGGAAAAAATGAGCACCAGTCAGCAAACTTAAGTTATGTACCATGGTTTTATTTCCTGAGAAGTCCAAGTCTATCCCATTTCAGCAAAAGAAAGAGCACTTTGCTAAAAATAGATTAAATGAACAGAAACATCCTAGTGGCTGGGTTGTTCTAACCCTGTGGCATGACAATTGACTCAATTCAAGATGTCTCAAGAACATCACATCTTTCTTTTTTATGTAATGTCGCTTATATCTGAAACTGGACCGTGTGAAAGAGCCCTTTCACTTGCATGGCGTGGTATTCTTAAGTTTTCCCTTTAACTGGGTGCCCAAGGCACCTTTATTTCACCTGACATTCTCCCCAAGGGGTTGCTCTATGTTGCTCCTCCACACCACTTTTCTCCAAGACATACTATCTAGGCCTGGATGATGTAGCGGGTGAGGACCAGACCGCGGTGGTGTCTTCAACTGGAGGTATATTGCGAGTGAAACTTCATACTGCCGCTCCTAAGTCTCTTTGCCACCAGCGCCCTGTGTGCCGAGGGAGAACCAAGCTGCAGATGGATGCTGGTAGCAGAGGGACTCAGGAGTGGTGGTGGTTTCACTTGTGATACACCGCTGGGTGAAACAGCCATCTCACTCTGGCCCTCATACCACAGAGGGCTGATGTAGCTTGTTCCTCCCTTGTGCTCGTGAGGGCAGGCACCCCCTTTAGACTTCTCCACTGAGGGGAATGTGGCTGCCTGCCCCTCAGTGGAGAAGTCTAACAAAGACCCCATCCTGCCTCCGGCTCACACAAGCTGGGGTGGGGGCTCCTTTACTCTTCTCCATTGAGGAGCGCATTCACAACATATCGATGATGGTTCACAACATAAAAATATAAGATAAAAACACAAAGTACATAATAAAAAAGCAAACACAAACCACCAATGCCCATCCCACAAACACATTTAAAAGGTCTTATAATATTAATCAGCCAAAGGCCTCTTTATGGAGAAATATTTTCACCTGGCACCTAAAGATATGCAAAGACACCAGGTGAGGCTCCTTAGGAAGAGCATTCCACACACAGAAAGTCACCACAGAAAAGACCTGATCTTGTGATACCACCCGCCAGACCTCTCATGGAGGAGGCACACAAAGGTGGCCTCAGGACTTCCTGTTTGGCTGCTTTAGCAAACGGCTGCCCATTACCTCAGAGCCATCTCACAAGGCATATTTTGAAGATGAGATGGGAGTAATCATCCAACCTTCGCAGGGTTGGGAGGGGGGGCAGCTTCACCAGCAGATCACCCAAGACTTGCTCCTGGTCCGGAAGGAATGAGGGGGCAGGGAGCACTGGGTGTAAAGCACCGTGCGTTTCTTTGGCAAGTCTCCAAAGCTGTTGCCATGAGCAACGAATACCTGCTTTTTAAAGATGAAATTTGGACTTAATTAACAGGTATGCTCTGAGCGAGGGGAGATAAAGTATTCTGCTAGCTGATTCAGCCATTGGGATGCCAAGGATTTGAGTGGAAGGATTACCATCATTATGGGACTGGTATGTCAGAACAGAAGGGGGGGGTGAGCCTCCATTATTTCTTTTTGATATATTTTGTATTTGCTATCTTATTTGGCAAATCTCCCTGGAAGGACTGCCTGCCTGCCTGTTTGAGTAAGCAAGCGGGACTGGAAAGAAAGAGTATTTCATTATTGTTATAATTATGGTTTAACTATAGAATTAACTGTGTGGAACTGGTTTATGAATTTTGCAATCACTTTCAATGGCTCAATGAAAAAGAATAGGTGATGGAAATTATGGTTTCTAGCTAAAGTACAGGCTTATTTGTCTTGGAAGGAGATGAAACAAAGAAGTTTGGACATATTCCTGGTACAAATGGTGGATGTCAGATTTCCTCCAGCTCAAGATGTGTTGCAGTAGAAAATTACAGGCATGAGAAAGTGAAAGTGAATTGCCACAGACTGCCAGAGTACAAAGAAGAAAATAAACACGAAGGAACTTTTTCACATAGAATCACACTATATTGGTTTAATCCGCTTGCTAGACGAACTCAGAGGCTGTTAAAAATAAACGAAGGATCAACATCAGAATGTCTTATTTGGAACTATCTGGACTAATTAAGAGAAGCAGCACAATTGTGAGATCATCACTCACCAAACCTCAGAGCATGGGAAGTCAACCAAAGACTTAACATTTGGCATAAAATTTGGACTGTTTGATTATTTTATAATTTGGAATGTTTTTAATGTGGCTTTTATTGGCTTGTTAAAATGGAAAACTTAATAAATATTATTTAAAAAACAAACAAAACAAAACAAAAACAAAGGTGGCCTCAGATAATCTCAAGGCCCAGGTTGGTTCATATGGAGAGGTATTGCATCCTGAGCCTGAAGTGAGGACTCTCTCTATCATGGGAAGAACTTTCTTTAGCAAGGAAAAACTCATTAAAAAACTTAAGCATCAGGGCCACAAGCGCGCCCGCCCCCCCCCCCAGGAACCCAAAGAAACCTACAACACTGTGAAAGTTAGCAAACTGCCTTCATAACACTCACTAAATGTAAGCACAACAAGTTAGAAAGGACAAATTGACATTCTGCCTTCTGGCATTATTATAGTGTGGAGAATCAAGTGGGCAATCGCAGATTAGTAGAGAAGTTGAAGTGGTCTAGTACAGGCGAGATTACGGCCATGCAGAAAGGCTGAGGAAAAGCACAAGGGGCAGAAAAAGGAATTTTCTCAGTACCTGTACATAATGTAGCAGAGTTGGTCAAGTGTGGCAGAATTCATGCTGAGAAGTGCTGGATAGAAGACTCCAGTAGGAAGCATAATAACCAAGGGGAGCTTGTACTTCAGATATATATCAGATACCTACAAGTAGGAAAGATTGCTGTATAAGCTTGTATTCTCAGCTCTCTGCCCTTAGCACATTACTGTCACAGGAAAAACGGAGGAACAGCCTTGTTCTTGCCTACTCAGACATTATGTCTCAGTCTACAACATTATATATAGACGTTATACTTTAGAGGCAAACATGGGCTTCAAACAATCTACCCACTTTTTTCCCTTTGGATTTCTCTTTCTCTGCCTCCCCCTCAAATTATCAGAACCTCCCTCAGGATTGTCAAATACATAACGTCTGAAGCTATTAAACAAATATGCAGTGTGAACAGCTTACATACTGTCTCATAGAAATCCAGGATAACATTCATCAACAAAGCAGAGTTGTTCTCCAAGCACAGACCAACAGTTGAGAGCCTGTTTACAAAGTGAATGAGCTCTGCCAAGGAGCTTATCAGGTCAACTTGGGTGGTGTTCCTGCAACAAAACAAGATAGATATCAGCCTTAGCATCTAGTAGGAAGAGAGTGGTTGTGCCTACGTGAGCTGCATTATTGCTTGATTGCCTGTGTTCTAGAGGTGTACCACTTTGTAAAGATTATACTTACAACACATCAGCATTTGATTCTGTTGCCATGTCTGCTTGCATGTGGCAATTCAGCATGTTCAGTAACAGTTCCCTTAGGCTTTCAAGAACTTCATACTATGGAAGAGCAAAAAACAAAAAAACGGATCCATTGTATTTCAGATTTGGGGGAGCTCCATACCGGCAGTACTGCAGTAATATGCTTGAAAAGGTTTTTAAAGCCCAGGTTATCCATACACACAAGTTTAAGAATTCTCCTAGGGTGCTTCAGTAGCCTGCAGTTGTGATGTTAGCCCCCAGAGAGACAGGAGATAAAAGAGCAGAGAAAAATTATAGGAAACTTGCATACTTCCAGCTGAAGGAAGAAAAGCAGCAACCATTCTTATTGCTATGGTGCTGTATTTGTAATTCCAAAAGGCTAGTTCACACATAATGCTAAATGTTATGTGCATTATTGTTATAATGCACTAGTGTTATATGTGAAATAAGAATCATGGCTTATGGCAAACGGTTTGAAGCTATACAAACCAGCTTCATAGCCCATTGTCTGAAGTGAGCTTGCTTGGTAACCACCAATGATTGTTGCAAGCTAGGATTCCTAGTTTGCACGTAGCAAAAAGCAGAGATTCTGTACGTCCAATTAAGGCTCATTCAACTAGTTTACATACAACAAGAAATTCATCTGAGTCTGACAAGTATTTGGTCTCCTTCCTTTAACAAGGATAGCAATCCCAAACATATTCAAGGATTTGTATTTTATCAACCGCAATGCGCCTGGTATTTTGCTCCCAACTGCCCTACTCTTGGGCACCTCAGACAAACATATTTCCTAGTTGTATGTCAGGGATCTAATTTGGTAATTCTTACATGCCAAAGCGGGACGCGGGTGGCGCTGTGGGTAAAACCTCAGTACCTAGGACTTGCCAATCGTATGGTCGGCAGTTCGAATCCCCGCGGCGGGGTGAGCTCCCGTCGTTCGGTCCCAGCTCCTGCCCACCTAGCAGTTCGAAAGCACCTCTGGGTGCAAGTAGATAAATAGGGACCGCTTTATAGTGGGAAGGTAAACGGCGTTTCCATGTGCTGCGCTGGTGCTGGCTTGCCAGCTGCAGCTTCGTCACGCTGGCCACGTGACCCAGAAGTGTCTTCGGATGGCGCCGGCTCACAGCCTCTAGAGCGAGATGAGCACGCAACCCTAGAGTTGGACACGACTGGCCCGTATGGGCAGGGGTACCTTTACCTTTACCTTACATGCCAAAGCAGGCATTCACTGGCCACTTTCTCTCCATTACCTTAAAATAAAGAGATGATATGGAAAAAAGCTTCAACAATGGCTGGTAGAGATACGTCTTCATTTCTGAAAGGAAAGAAACAAAAAAAGGAACAGAGACTTTGAAGCAGGCCTGTCTGGACCACAAAGCAGGGTAAGATTGGTTTGGCTGCATCACATACCTGAGAAGCTGTTGGGAGAGATCCATCTCACCAGCTGCAGGACCTGTGACTGACAGCAGCAGCCATCCCAGAAGTGCAGACTCTTCCACAAGAATTCTTCGCAGGCCAAGAAACCCCTCTGAAAGGCACAACTGACACTGCTAAAGATTCTTGAAAGCCAGCCCTTTTCATGCACCCAGCCTGACAGTGCTCTTCCATAGCAGAAAATACTTAAGAAGGCCAAGACAGATAACTTCTAAGAATTCAAGGGATAAGCTTGCAGATTAGTTGGGCTGCCATCTTAAAAGTACTTTGCTAGGGATAGCAAAAGTTTCTAATAATTCAGGTGATCTTCTTTGGCCCAAGAGCCTCTGCCGCTCCTCCTAAAAAGCAGATCCCAAATTACTTTTGTTCATGCCACTCTTTTCTGCTTCCCAGTTTGCCTTCTTCAGGAACCCTATTTCTTGACTGCACAGATTTAGGCTGTGTCACTCACCACCTACCCCTGGATGCCCTCTCTGTTTCCTTCATCATGCAGCTCTTAGGAAAAAAACAAGGAGAGCTGCAATTTGGCCACCACTGTCCTTTGATAAGGAAGCCCACAGATGTGCAATTAATTTGGATAGCAACATGACTTTCAATAGAATAGTTTTTTACTCATGGTTTATTAGGGTTTTCACATTACTACAATAGAACAGTACAGTCCCTTTGTCTCCTCCCACCTCCCAGCTTCTCTCCCTCCTGTGCTTTTTTAAAAAAGCTACATTATTTTCATTTCTGACATACCATTATTTAACATCCTACTAACAGAATATTGATGTTTTAGTCAAGGCATAGAATGGTGGTGGACAAAAGACAATGTCCAAGGAATGATGTGATGAGAATCGCATATGAACTAACCTGCAAGAAACACTCTGCTTTGAAGACTTCCTCTAAGAAGACCTTAAAGTTCAATTCATCTTCCTGGTTCGTCATCTTATACCAAGAGCATCCTGAATCATGAGACAAAGGGGTAAAACATTGCTTATCCTCCAAATTCTTATTCTCTGACATCCCCAAGTTTTCACCTTTGTATATAGTCTGCCACCCATTTTGCCTTGGCACAGTTGAGGTACACTGAGATGGTGACCTGTGTCTGTGCAGTACCAAGTCAGATATTTGGAGAGGGGATGGACTCATAAGATGAAATGATTCTCTGTACAAAAAAAAATGTTCTGCAGATAGAAAATTCGCATATTAGGTTGAAACTCAGCTCTCCAAGATCTATAATGCAGCAGAACAATCAATCATGTGAGCTCTCACATCTCAGACACAAGATTATCTCTGTGAGAACCAGGCCGTAGCCTAGATCTAAGGCATCAGTTTCTCCTATGTGGGAATCCAATTAGTCTCCCTACCTTCTTTTAATGTATGACCCATCCAGTAATGCATCCTCCTAGAGACCGATTTATCTTTGAGGCTGAAGTAGTGGAGCAACAGAGGATTGCCTATCACCGAGCCTATTTGGGCTGGAGGCTGGAAGAGAAGCCAGAAGAAACTGTTCAGAAGGGAACACAAAAACCCAGACTTCCAGTGCTCCGCCACGATGAAAGCAAATCTCAAGTTAGCGGAGTCTGTTCACAGAACGTAAACCAGGACTAATTGGAGGGTAATTGTCCTTGCAAGCCACCCCCAGGGTTGGAAACAGTCAAAGATTTTGATTTTAACAGAATGCCTCATTTAATCAGCAGTATTTTTTTTAAAAATCTTCAGTTTATAGAAAAGCCATTGCTTCTAAGAACACATATACTAGAGATCTCACATAACCAGAATTGAACAAGTTGGTTTTTCCTGCTTGGCAGGGGGTTGGACTCGATGGCCCTTGTGGTCTCTTCCAACTCTATGATTCTATGGTTCAAGTCAATGGAAAATTTAGAGCCCTCCCACCACATCCCAACCCATGGTTCTTCGACCCACTTGCTCTTCTTTGCCTGTCCATACCCTTGCTGCCAACAGAATGCAGGTCCTCACGTCCCTAAGTGTTTTGCATAGCCAAAAGGAACCTTGCCTCACAGAAGTTGCTTAATCAACATGGTTGCTGCACCCTGAGCAAGCAGAACATATGGCTATTCCTTGGCACTACCCTAGAACAGCTGCTGCCCATCCGACTCCCCTAATAGTAGCCATCCCACATCTGGCTGTAGTGAATAGAGAGATGGATCAGGCAATAGGGCCTTCACCATTGACTTGGCTGATGTACAAGTTCATTTTGCTCCTCCCTGGACTGTTTCCGTTCAAGCTAGTGTTTTCAAAAACTGGTATCAGAGTTTCCTTGTTTTCTTTTTGAATTACATCTTTTAGATTGCAAGTCTGTGGGCAGGAACTGTCTTGTTCTTAATCTGTGTAAGTGCTTAGTAAATCTTAGTATAAATATAGTTCATAAGTGCCACCCACACCAAAGGATGAAGTCTAGTCGCGTCTAATTAAAAATCCATCAGGTAGCTAGCTATCCTACACTTTTAATAAATAGCTCCAATGTGGCATTAAATACACATATTTTCCCCCAAATATGTGCAATTTCATATTCTGTAGGCTTTGCTCTACCTCTCTTTTAAATCAGAACCAGTGAAGGCGGTGAAGGTCCTGTGTGAGTGTCTGGAGGCGGTTGGAGGATGGATGGCGGCTAACAGATTGAGGTTGAATCCTGACAAGACAGAAGTACTGTTTTTGGGGGACAGGAGACAGGCAGGTGTGGAGGATTCCCTGGTCCTGAATGGGGTAACTGTTCCCCTGAAGGACCAGGTGCGCAGCCTGGGAGTCATTTTGAACTCACAGCTGTCCATGGAGGCACAGGTCAAATCTGTGTCCAGGGCAGCTGTTTACCAGCTCCATCTGGTATGTAGGCTGAGACCCTATCTGCCTGCAGACTGTCTCGCCAGAGTGGTGCATGCTCTGGTTATCTCCCGCTTGGACTACTGCAATGCGCTCTACATGGGGCTACCTTTGAAGGTGACCTGGAAACTACAACTAATCCAGAATGCAGCAGCTAGACTGGTGACTGGGAGCGGCCGCCGAGACCATATAACACCAGTCTTGAAAGACCTACATTGGCTCCCAATACGTTTCCGAGCACAATTCAAAGTGTTGCTGCTGACCTTTAAAGCCCTAAACGGCCTCGGTCCAGTATATCTGAAGGAGCGTCTCCACCCCCATCATTCTACCCGGACACTGAGGTCCAGCACCGAGGGCCTTCTGGCGGTTCCCTCACTGCGAGAAGCCAAGTTACAGGGAACCAGGCAGAGGGCCTTCTCTGTAGTGGCGCCCTCCCTGTGGAACACCCTCCCACCAAATGTCAAAGAGAACAACAACTACCAGACTTTTAGAAGACATCTGAAGGCGGCCCTGTTTAGGGAGGCTTTTAATGATTGATGTAGTACAGTATTTTAATATTTTTTTTGGAAGCCTCCCAGAGTGGCTGGGGAAGCCCAGCCAGATGAGCTGGTTATAAATAATAAATTATTATTATTATTATTATTATTATTATTATTATTTGTTACATTATGCTTTTTGCCATGTTTCAAATCTCTCACCTATTGTGCACACATAGTGCCTCTTTTCCACTCTGAATATTTCATTCAAAGCAGTTTAGTTAAGCCCTCATTTTAAGTGGTTTTTTGGGGGGGGCAGGTGAATGAATTGTTGCATATCTACAGTAGCAGTGGTTCAAGCAAAACATTATGACTACCACAGTATCTCACTTAACTGTTGCACTGGTGTTAACATTCACCTTTAACCATTCCTTTTTGCTTAGAATCCATGCTTCCAGGTTAAGTTACAGAAAAAATTGCATGAGTAAGCAAAAACCCTATGGCTAGAAATTAGGAGAAAGGCCATGATGGTTGTTTAACAGAAGGGTACAATAATCTTTACATTCATATTTTTACATTAAATTGGAATCATTGTCAAACATTCTTAATTGTTTTAAAGCTGTGTTTCATTTGGGGTCTATTTGACCTCTGCATTATATTAGTAAAGTGCTATTCACAAACCTACCTCTAAATATTGAATATTCTGCAGAAGCTGGGGGAAGGTCTGCAGCTGTTCCAACGAAAAGAATTTATGCTTTTCACTCTCAGCTAAGCTTTCTGCATTGGAGCTGCATACAGGCGGAATCAACTTTGTATTCCTTTCCTATGGAGAAAACAAAATGCCAAAATTAAATGGCTCACAGCTACATTTCTAGATTATGCCTCTGTCAACCCTAATCCCAATTTCAGATATCATATTATCTTCCAAATCTTTTCTAAAGTTGTGCCTTCAGTGATTAATTTTCTTTACAATTCTGTGTAATTGTAATGTTCAGGTGGAAGAAGAAAACCAAACAGTATTTCAAGCTTTGTGTGCTTTAAATATTCAATAAAAGGTTTACACTCCTCCTTAAAGTCTGCCTCTTCCTGATCAGAATTATAATAATAATAAATGTGTGAGCTTTACATATTGCATTCCATTTATAATGTAATTGAAAAAAATAAATGACCACAGAGCATCTGTTGCTATAGCAAGTGTGAATCCAATAATAATCAGAACAGGAGTCTACTAAAAGCGTCATGTAAGCTACTCTAAACTTTTTCAAATATGAAAATATAATAAAGTTATTCAACACTTGCTACCATCAGGAAACCCTTTCCATATCTGAGTGGACAGAGATTCTCATGCCATCACTGACACTAACTAGTTGTCAATAAAGTAAATAAAATTAGCATGCACAGTTGTAGCCCAATAACTGCATTCAAACTATCCCCAGCAACAAACCTTCTTCTGAGATTGGGGATACTCCATGCATTTCAAAGTTAGCTGGGATGCAGATGGTGTTCCGTGAATTCGCAGTTTTACGTTGTCAATTGCTGTTTTCCATGGATGTGAAAAAGTCCTAAATGACATCTGGCGGGGGAAGAAGAAGATTGGTTTTGTTGAGATTAAGTTCCTTTTCTGTGGCAAATGGAGGGTATCCTCAAATGTGTTGACTCTGCACTTGCTCCAACAGGCTACGCAAATCAAACTTTTTACTGCCAACATGTGTGGAAGAGAACCTCTCCACTTTTGGGACATAACATAACAAATTGAACCATGAATGCTCAAACTGTCCTTGATAGAAGAGGGACTGCAACCCGTAATAGTAAAAACAGCAGGCATTGGGGGAAAATTGATATGGGTGATATCAAAACCCAAATAGAACTGAGAGCATACAACCACCCCAACTTTTCCCAGCAATGGGAATCACCCCTCCAGGGCAGGTAAGCTATCCTCCATCCAGCGTGGAAGAGGAACTTTGCATACTAAGTCCAATGTTCTATTTACCTACAGTGGAGGAGGGTATCATTGAATAGGATGCTCTATACCAGCCTTGTACTCAACAATTAGCCTGGTACCATAAACAACTAGGAATTCCATGCAGATGAGTGAGCTGGTTGGTGGTGAAAGGACATGTAGCTCACTCCTTACCCAGCAACTTTGTTTTCATGTTTGCTGTGGAAGAAAGCAAATTTCTTCTTTCATTATAGAGCAGGCTGACAAATCTGCCAGTCTGCTTTAAAAAAACACAGCAGAACGAAAAAGGTAGCTCAGCTGATCCATTGGCAAGGTCAGCTCTGTGCTTCAGGCCTAGTAGGAGCAGCCCAGCAAACCTCAACAAAGTTTATTGGTAGAGGAGAACTCAGTACAAGAGTAATAAATTTCAGTTAAGATGACAGCTGGCTGCTCAATTTAATTTCTGCTTTGATTTGGCTAAGCTATATGGGTACATCCTTACCATATTTGGAGCTGGCATTATTTCGTCATGGATCTTACAACAGGAGTACAGAATCTCCAGTCTGTGGGTCCATTTTGGTTTGACAGGTAATTTCCCCCAAACCATGCCCACCTATCCATCAGCTGGTGTTGCAAAGCAATAGCATTAAATTTGGGCTCAATTAGCTGATGACTGGGTGCTAATCCTGCTCAGTTCAGCCACGCTCTCTGGTTCCTGCTGGGAACAGGCACAGGCAGCCAAAGACAAGCATTGAGAAAGGTAGCTGTCCCTCTTACGGCCATCTACAAAAAACACTTTCTTAAGTGTTTTTTTTTGCAGATCAGATGCAAGAAGGCTTTCTCACGTGTGCAGTGATGGCTGTAAAATACTGTCAGATGGTTGTTAATTTGTTTTTGTGAGGAACCCAGTTCAGTTGATTGATTGTGTGACTGCGGAAATGGATAAATGCCCCCCATCCAAACAATGACTATCATCACTGCCGGTAAGAAAATAATAATAATTTTAATTGTTATCATCTACAATACTGTCTAGGGACGCGGGTGGCACTGTGGGTTAAACCACAGAGCCTAGGACTTGCCGATCAGAAGGTCGGCGGTTTGAATCCCCATGACGGGGTGAGCTCCCATTGCTCGGTCCCTGCTCCTGCCAACCTAGCAGTTCAAAAGCACATCAAAGTGCAAGTAGATAAATAGATACCGCTCTGGCGGGAAGGTAAACGGCATTTCCGTGCGCTGCTCTGGTTCACCAGAAGCAGCTTAGTCATGCTGGCCACATGACCCGGAAGCTGTATGCTGGCTCCCTCGGCCAATAAAGCGAGATGAGCGCCGCAACCCCAGAGTCGGTCACAACTGGACCTAATGGTCAGGGGTCCCTTTACAATACTGTCTTATTTATTTCATAGTACAGTACATTGATTATTGCTTTCATTTTATGGATCAATGGTCATAGATAGTAAAATTCATGTTAAATTGCTGTTTTAGGTGGGTTTTTTTTAAAAAGTCTGGAATGGATTAATTTGTTTTGCATTACTTCTATGGGAAAGCGTGCCTTGGTTTTGGAACGGACTTCCGGAACAGATTAAGTTTGAGAACCAAGGTACCACTGCACTTCAAAAGTAACTCATGAAGGATTTTTTATAACTATTATTGTCTGGTAGAAATTACAACAATCACATGACACCCTTTGCTTCACCTTCATTATTAATTTAATATTAAGCAACGTGATATGCAAAGTTTAAGAATTCAGTTATGTGTACACCAGTTCCAATCTAACTGTTTCTTCCTCATCAATGAGTAGTTTAATAATTTGGCAACACTGAATTCAGATGCCTAGTCTCCCAGTGCAGATCTCACAGCACAGCACAGATCTCATTTGAAAGCATCCTCACCTTTGTTTTTGTAGGCAAAGTTATTGTTACCATTTCAGGAGCAAAGATCTTGTACTTCCATAGCAGAGTCTGCAGAGAAGCTGATGTCTGAAAAGAAATGAGTTCGATGTTGTTGCACTCGATAATGTTCAAACATAGTAGCTGAGAAACTATGAAACCCACTGCATCAGTGCTTTTTTTCTGGCGGGGACGGACGGACGGGGGACGGCAACACATACCCCTAAACATTTTGTGAATCTAAGTTTGGCCTCATTGAGGGGCAGTATTTCAATATGAGAAGGGTAATGAAAGTGCCCCTAAACAAATTCCTTTTTAGAAAAAAAAGCACTGCACTGCATTAAAGGTACCCCTGCCCATACGGGCCAGTCTTGACAGACTCTAGGGTTGTGCACCCATCTCACTCAAGAGGCCGGGGGCCAGAGCTGTCGGGAGACACTTCCGGGTCACGTGGCCAGCGTGACATTGCTGCTCTGGCAGCGTTTACCTTCCCGCTAGTAAGCGGTCCCTATTTATCTACTTGCACCCGAGAGTGCTTTCGAACTGCTAGGTTGGCTTGCGCTGGGACCAAACAACGGGAGCGCACCCCGCCGCGGGGATTCGAACCGCCAACCTTTCGATCGGCAAGCCCTAGGCGCTGAGGCTTTTACCCACAGCGCCACCTGCGTCCCTTTGCACTGCATTAGACATAGCAAATCTCTAGCCATGACCCTACAAATAGGAGATGGAGGGCTATATCAATGTCAAGCAAATGCTGTTGTGACAGACAGCAAGCCAGACCAGAATATGGTGATGCAGTCCCTCAGAATTCCACCAGAATTCTCTGATTAGCTACCACCACAACAGCCAGCCAGAGGGGCGAGTGTGGAGCAGCACTTTGGGAGGGAGAATAAAAGGAGGGGTTTCTGAATGAGTTCTTTGATAGGGATAGCGAAGGGAAAGAGCAGGAGGATAGGGTTTAGTTTGAGAGATAGGAGTTGATTTGAGACGAGAGAGAGGGATTAGGATAGGGTTTGTCTGAGAGAATTGGTTCTGATTTGAGTTGAACATCCTCTCTGAGGGGACTATCTATAGCAAGAGGAAGGAGCCTCAGTTTAGATAGGAAGACTGGGTTGGGTGTCTGGTGAAGGTATACAGACAGGATTTAACTGGAGGGCTGAGTCTGAGCCAGGAGAGGTAGAAGCTATGGGAATACAGGCTACCTGGGTCTCATTCCTGCCAGGAGGGGAGAGTTCTTCTAGGTAAAGAAGACCCAAGCCAGTAACAAGGGGTGAGGTGATCCTCTGGGTTTGGTATACTAATCAGAATACCTCAGGAATCAGATTGTTGAAAAAGTGGGTAACTGATGAAAAGTGCACCTTGCTCATGAACCAAATTAATTAATAAACTGTGAAGGAAGTTGTGCTGCGTTAAAAGCATTAACCTGAAACATCTGTCATAACTAAGTGAAATGAGAGAGAAGTAACAGAAACTGAGCAACTGATTTCTGAGTAACTGAAGTTTCAGAAAAGATGTGCATATACTGTGTCTAAACAAGTAGACTTATACCTGAAGATGGGCCATCTCCTGTCTCAACTTTCTTTCACCAAACTCTTTTTCTGGAAATAAATCTTTTTTTGTTTGATCAACTCCTGCCTGAGACTCCCTGAGCTTTTCCTTTACACAGTTCTGGTGAGAAATATAAGCACAGAAGAAACCTTCAGAGGAACAAAAGTAGGAAATAAAGAATATACTGTGTTGGCCTGAATATAAGCCTCACTTTTCCCCAAATTCCGACCGTGAAGTTAAAGTGCAGCTTAAATTTGCAACCTTACAAAAATGGGCTTTTACAATATTGCTGCTGAAACAGACATATGGTAAAACGGAACAAAAAAAAGTTTTATTGCCGATTTGCGAGCTTGAGGTGGTTCATTTGCCATTTATGGGTATGAGTGCCTGCGGAATTGTAGCAATTGAATAGGGATATGCGATTTTAGTGATTGTACGGTAACTTTTGCAGGCTTGCAAGATCAAAGGCTTAAATTGGCTCGGAGTTACAATTCTACCAACCGCAGCGATTTTCAGCCTGTAACCCAATTTTAAAGGGAGTGGTTTATATATGGGTATTGTCTCCCCTCCCACCAATTTTAAAGGTGTGGCTTATTTGCGGGTGCAGCTTATATTTGGACCAATATGGTAAATTGAAAACATTTGCGGATGACCTTGTGATAACGGTTGAAGATCCTATAAACTTATTACCAAAAGTATTAGAAAAAATACTGGAATTTGGAGAAGTATCAGGTTTTTAACTGAATAAAAATAAGACTAAGCTTTTAGTGAAGAACATTTCAGAGCAAGATAAAAAGGAGATACAGCAGAAGACAGAGATAAGTATATAAAAGAAAGTTAAATATTTGGGAATATGATTGACAGCCAAGAATATTAGTATATTTAAAGACAACTATGAAAAACTATGGAAATAAATAAAAAGGAACATAGAAATTTGGGGAAGGATGAGTTTGTCATTATTAGGTGGAATTTCAGTGATCAAAATGAATGCATTGCCAAAAATGTTGTTTTTATTTCAGTCAATCCTGGTGGTAAGCAATGTGAGCTGCTTCAAAGAATGGCAAAAAGACATTTCAAGATTTATCTGGGTAGGGGGAAAACCAAGAATTAAACATAAATTATTAATAGATGTTAGAGGAGATTTCTCTCTACTGGATTTAAGATTATATTATGAAGCATCTTGCATCTGCTCGATCCAGGATTGGATAAATTTAACAAATGCTGATTTATTAGATTTGGCAATAGATTTGGTTGGCATGCATATTTATGGTATGCCTTACCATAAGGCAAAAGTTCATAAAAGTTTTTATACTCACATAATAAGAAACTCAAAGTTTGGGAGAAATACAAAGATTTATTAGAACAGAAAACACCATGCTAGCTTTCCCCATTAGAAGTAATAGCTTTGAAAAAAGTGAGTATGAGGATAAATTGGCTGACATATAGAGAGCTATTAACAGAAACAGATAACCAACTAAAATTAAAAGGTTTTGAAGGAGTAAGAGGAAAAAGGAGTAGACTGGGTACAATATTTGCAATTAAATTAAAATTTTTAAAATGATAAAAAGAAAGCATTTAGTTATGAAGTGTCAAGATTTCCGAGAGAAATAGTAGAAGGTAGTACAAAATTGCTGAAAAAAATCACACAATTGGGGATGCTGGGGACAGTGGATTGGGTTTATCCTCTCATGTGACCTCAGGCAGGAGCAAAGACTTGTGCGAGGCAGGCTGGCACTTCCTCAGTTTTTCAGATTCACCAAGCAGCAATGTTCGCCAAAGTACCAGAAACAAAACAACCTGCCTCCCTTCCTGGCTCATAAATCAATAAAAATAGAAGCAAGTGTCAAAATTGAAAAATTTATCTGAAGAAGCAGGAGAGCCAGGAAAAACATTCTGAGTCAGGCAGGAGAAAAAACTGCGGAAGTGCCAGCCTGCCTCCTACAAGTCTTTGCTCCTGCCTGAGGTCATGTGAGAGGATATACCCCATGAAATAAATTGTACAATCTGCTCTTGTAAAATTGGTGGGAAACCAAAGAGGAACAGGTCAAATGTGTTATGATAAAATGGGCGAAAGATGTGGGACATAATATACTAATGATGGATTGGGAAAGGTTTTGGAAGTCATATATGAAATTTACTGCATGTACTTTACTGAAAGAGAACAACATGAAAATGATGTATCGGTGGTATTTAACCCCGGTTAAATTAGCAAAAATGTATGTAGAACAAGTTCTAATAAGTGCTGGAAATCTAAAGAAACAGAGGGTACGTTTTATCATATGATGTGGGAATATAGGAAGGTTGAAAACTTTTGGGAAATGATTTGTAATGAAATGGGGGGAAAAATTTTAGAGTAACCTTTTTTTTAAAACCAGAAGCCTTTTTATTAGGTACGCTAGGAGTGGAGATTCCAAAAGAACAGAAAAAAATGTTTACATATGCCACGATGGTTGCCCAGATACTGTTAGCCCAAAGATGGAAAGAGGAAGCAGTCCCGACCAAAGAAGATTGGCAAACCAAGTTAATGGACCACGCTTAAATAGCAAAACTAACTGGAAAGCTCAGAAATGAAGATAACAATAAATGTTAAAAGAATGGGAAATGTTTATCATATATTTACAAAAGTATTGTAAACAGGTTAATACATTGGCAGGATTTTAAGAACACTTGTAATTATAGAAATAGTATAGGAAATTTGAGGTGGAAAAAATAATTTGGAGTAGAAATGATACGCAGTTGAAAAGGAAATTTAAGGAACCAGGGGAGGGAAGTCATGGGATTTGGAGAATCCCATTTTATGGATTTGATATTGCTTTTATGTATATTTTTCTTTGTTTGTGATTGTTGTTTGTTTTTTATTTTTGTTGAAAATCTAATAAAAATATTATATAAAAAAAGTTTTCCTTCACATAAGACTGGTAAATTGTAGAAATTCATTTAATTGGCATACCATGCAGTGGATGCACTATAGTTAATTAGGGGCAGTTAGTGGAGTGAGGCGGCTACAGCTGCTGTAGAAACAAACAATCCAAAGAGATGAAAAACTAACAAAAGAATCTCTTCCATCTCTTTTGTTCATTTATGCTGGTACCTCGGGATGCGAATGGGATCCATTCCGGAGCCCCATTTGCATCCCAAAGCAAATGTAACCTGTGTCCGCACATCTGCGTGGGTCACGTTTCAGCGCTTCTGCGCATGATGTCATTTTGATGGTCTGCGCATGCGCACGGCGAAACCCAGAAATGCCTAACCCAAAGCTTATTCATCCCGATGTATGACTGTATACCTTTTGCTTAGAGAGCAAAGGACAAAGGTTGCATGCCCTCTCAGATGAGCTCAGCATTAGACCTACACCATCAGCAGGTTAAAAAGAATAGTAGATGCTACTATTTGCAGCTTTGCTTTACGTCTTAGAATGCAAGATAATGCACCATTTAAATTACATCAGATATTTGTCAGCTATCCAAATATTAAGCTTTCATGCCACACTGGAGTTCCTATAAAGATTAGATTCCATTTTTATTTTTTTTAAGTTTTGTCTTGCTTCAACTTTCATATCTCAAGTGCTTACCATGCTGCCGTGTAAATTTAGAAGTTTCCTCACATGGAAAGGTTTCACTAGGGAGAAGAAAACAAAACTCAATACTTATTCGAAAAAGTTATGTTCTGCTTTTCACATATTCTTCTTCTTTGGCGATCACTCGTAGCCGAGTAACATTGTCTTCCATAAACACGGTTTTAACAATAAGTCCGTACTCAAGGCAGCTGTAGGTAAAACAGCAAGGGGATCTTTATTCCAAGTAAAGCAGCATATCAGATATAGAAACAAGATAGGTCATACTCTCTTGCACAAAATCAGCCAGTTTGAATAAAAGGGCTGAGCACACTTTTGGAGGGTGGTAAACCCATAAAGTGGGTACCCAAGACTGGGTGGTGGGGATGACATGCCTCCTGTGACAAATGACAAAAAGCTTATGATGCAATCACATAACATGTACCATGAATCTAATTAAGATCTCACCACTCTCCATTCTGGTCAGCAAACACAGCACATGACAGGCAAAGGGGAGCTACAGTAAGAAAGAAAATATATTACACAAAAGCAGTTAACAGGTAAATTCAGTTCTTTCCATCTCAACACAATCCTGAAAAGCAGATGGCATTTAATTCAGCAAGTATTTTAGTGTCCAAGTGACAATGAGTTCTAAATTACTAGCCTGCTTATAGACAGTATTTAACTGCCAAATGTTTACTTAGAAGTCTCACTTTATTCATTGGAACCATTCTGTGCACAGCAGGGTTGGGGTGGGGTTTACCACGAGCAGTCTCACTATTGCAGCTGGATGCTAGAATGCAGTGGGGAGGGCCTGGCATGAAATTCCTTGTTGCCTATGGATACCAGGCAAGTGCTTAAATAGAAGACAGATTTAACTATTTGGCCTCTGCATCAGGCTTTTTGTGAAAATGAAATGTTTTTAGAAAAACCATCACTCAAGTTGGTATCACTGAAGCAAGATGGCATTTCGATCTGCTGCTCCTTCCTTCCCTGGAAGCAAAAATAGCCTAGCTTGTAATCAGTCACATCCAGAACCTACTATTCTCCTGATGCTGGACACAGTCAGGGCATTTGATTGTTTAAACTTGCAAGATCGCTTTACAATTCTATGTTCCTTTGGCATTGGTACATCCTGGGTTGATCCACTTTTTAGTTTATACTATGGGTCAGTGAACTAATTTTTGCTGAATGGGGAACACTCTGATATTTCTCATTGGCTGGGGCACAAAGCAGAGCTGCTCACTGCCACCCCTGCTTTTTGCCATGGCTATGGAACCCCTAACTAGAATTGTCTTTGTCATCTCAGACCATACAGTTAAATATACTACAAGCTATGTAATGTCTCTGACTGTTTAGTATTTATGTAACATTCTGTCTTCCCTTAAATGTAGGCGCAATTATCTAAACTTTATATCATTTAGTTGCTGGTATTGTTATTTACATTTGGTGGGAGGGTGGGTATATTCGTATCCAATTAGTTCTAAAGTGGGATAAAGTCAAATAATGCATTGTTATCATTGTATCAGAGATGATAAATATGTCTAATGCATGACTTTATATGTATGTTTGTTTTCATACATGAAATGAATCAAAATTAAATACAGGCAAGCCCCTTTTTGTGTATGTTCAAAGAATTTGCAACCCATTTTTTGGACCTGGAAGAGGGAGAAGCGGGGCCAGGAATTATGCACGAAAACCTGGAACACAATCCAGGGTTGCCTGTACAAAAAAAAAAAAAAGATTGGTGCAATGAATTTAATGGATCTATGTTAGTCATGCCAATTTCAATGGGTCTGAGTATGACTAACATTGGATATAGCCTATTACAGTCATACCTTGGAAGCAGAATGCCTAGGGAGTCTAACGTTCTGGATCCCAAACGCCACAAATACGGCAGTGAGTGTTCTGGTTTTCGAATGTTCTTTGGTAGCCAAACGTCCAACGCAGCTTCCAATTGTGTGCAGGAAGCTCGTGTAGCTAATCGGAAGCTGTGCCTTGGTTGTCAAACATTTTCAGAAGTCGAACGGGCTTCCAGAACGGATTCTATTCGATAACCAAGGTATGACTGTCTATTTTATTGTTGTGTTCAGAATTCAGTATTTAGTAATGTTCGGGTTTTTTTAAAAGCCCCACTTTTTACACTGTGTCCTGTTGTGTGGTCAGAAAGTACTCTTTATTGTTTGATTTTGGTTACTGTCAGAGAACAAAAGCTAGTTCCTTCAAAATAACACATTCATTTTTATCTTACCAATTTGTCATATCGTAAGAAGCTGAAGAAGAAACCATAGAGAGCATTAATATTTTCCTTCTGGTCAATGAAGTCAAACATTACAATTAGCCATTTTAGAACGAGCACCTATAGGGAGAAGATAGATATCAGTAAGTGAAAGCAAGACCAAGATAACAAACCCTTCTGGAATATGTTCAGGAATTGTACAACATCTAGTTTAATAATCACCAGGATAAATAAGTCAGACTGGCAAAAATATCATTCTTCAGAACCAAGACATCATTACCATGCTTTCCAAGTTACCTGAATGTCACTAGAACACTTGCGAGCACAGAGCCAAGACACAGCTGAAATAACAGAATCCCCTGTTATTACGGAAATGGGAATCAGATTCTTCAGTAGCCTATTGCTTATCACTGTACCTGCAAGACATTGAAAGACACTGCTTAACATTCTTAACATCTTCACTATTGATAATTTGTCACAAGTTAGAAGCAGCACAGGTTCTTGTTAAGGGAGAAGGCATGGCAATGGAGCTACTTTGACATACTTTACTGCCAAGGGGAAAGAGAGAGGAAATTTTTTTTTCTTTACCAAGCTTGCCACTGAGTGCGATGTTCAGCAAGTTATGAATTTCTTCTGGTGCCAAGCCTCTCTCTTGTGCAATCTTTTCCACAGTCTTCAAAGGACCCTGCAAAGCTCTATTCTTTTTTGAGGCACTACCTTTAACTAGAAAAAAGTCAAAGTGTGAGTAAAATACATTCTAAAAACCATCCTCATGCATGATGGCCTTTCAAATGGCTTGCTTTACCATCAATTGGTAAGGTAGCCCCATTGAGATGCCATGGCATTTGTAAAACTATGGAATTCTTGTTTAATTTGCCATCTGCTTTCTTGCTCTTTGGTTTAGTGTGTAGGTAGGGGCAAGTCTAAAGCTTTATTGAAATTCATCAGCCCCAGCCAGCATTGCCAATGGGCAGGATGATGAGAATGGTAGTTAAGCAACGTTTGGAGGGCCAGAAGTTCCCCTAACCTGTTTTGTTGGTTAGTGTGCTAAGATCTGTGTACAAGCCCAATTCAGCTCGTGGTACTTAACAAGGGGTTGCTTTAAACAAAACATTAGACTTCATACACTATTATGCTCCAATATACAAAACAGCCACTTCTCTATAGAAAGCTAAAGAAAATACAAACTTTGGTGTTTGTAGATGGCTGTAAAGGTTGCTGAAAGTTTTCTATTTCACTAGTTGGAAACAGCTTCTAGGCTATGCAGGGCCAAGGTTGATTTGTAACTGTTACTATCTGCCTGCTTGCCATCGTGCATATTTGTAAACCATTTCTGCCAAAATATATACACCTGCAATAGTTTCTGCTCACAAGGAACCAGACCCTGCAAGAGCACACACTCCAAGAAGTCCTTCTGAATAGAAACTAGACTACCCCACTTGAGGGAAGAAATGTGGGTTTTGCTCCCACTGAAATGCTGTACTCTAAATAAGCACATCTTCCTACAAGTGAATAGTAGCCACCTATCTGGGGAAAAATAAAGTGGTATGCTGAGAGAGATTGTCATGGTGGAGATCAAATCTGTTTTCAACAATCCTAACATCCAGAGAGAAACCAGATGGCAACTTTTTTTTTTTACTGTGTCCACAGAACTCAATGAAAGCCAACCCCTATTTGCATAGTCCTGCCCTTTGTTATGATCCCTGTCACATAAGAGCATGAAGCAACATTGCCAATGGTTTTGGTCAGGGTAAGTAGAAGCATGTTGAAATCTGCAGATGGTACCAAGTTCAGAGGGAGTAAATCAGAAAGAGGGGCAGTCCTTAAACAGCTGAAGAGAATGGGATAAACTTCAATTGAGCATCCAAGCATTAAAATCCTTATGGTAAGGACCTTACCCAACCCTAGTTACATGTAAACACAATTTTAAAGTATGGCTTGTTGAGCTAAAATATGAATAGAAATATACATTCAAAAGGACATCCTACTGGAAACAATGCAGTACAGTACTAACACTCATATGTGCACCAGCTTGATTCCCAGTTCGTGATCCAGCAAGAAACAAACATACAAGAGCAGATTTACATGTATTTCTCTTTTTTTGCTGGATAAGCATTAAGCCCTATCTTTGTTCTTACTTTTATTCAAACAGTTCAAGGCTTCTTCAATGGAAAGTCGGTCATCTTCTATCTCTTCAGGCTTTGTGACACTTCTGGTTTGTTTACTACCAGTAGCTGGCAAAGTTTGTTCTGAACTCCTGCTTCTCTTCATTTTTTTCTTATTCCAGGAAAGAAACACAAGACAAGGTCAACTTTGTTTTGGTTTTCTTTTGTTAGTATTTTCCTGTCCTCCGATAATCAAGTTTGGTGCAGAAAATGAATGGAGAGCTACCTTCTAAAACAAACAAACAAAGTTCTATCCTTTGTTTGTTTGTTTTAGAAAGAAGGATAGAACTTTCTTTATGTATGCTACAGCAGCAGCAAGAATACTCATCACAAAGCATTGGAAGACACAAGATCTACCCACCTTGGAAGAATGGCAGATGCAAGTAATTGACTATATGGAAATGGCGGAGATGACTGGCAGAATCCGAGACCAGGGAGAAGAGTCGGTGGAAGAAGATTGGAGGAAATTTAAAATTTACTTACAAAAATATTGTAAAATGTATGAATGCTGATGACATTGAAATGAAATAAAGGGGTTTTAGTAACAGATAGATAAAAATTAGAAATTATAAATTTGATGTTTAATATAAGTAAGGACAAAGTAACAAGATATGAATTTGCTGAACCAAAAGTTAAAAAGGGATACAAAAAAGGGAGGCGTGAGGAAGTCGGGAAAATAGGTTATCAATGAAAATAAATTTGAAAAGAGTGATTTGTGTTTTACCTTTTTGTGTGTGTGTGGATTTTTTTCTTTCCCTTTGTTAGGTTAAATGTTTGTATTTTTGTATTGTGATGTTTTATATCCCTTCTGTGTTTATATTGTTTTTGTGAATGTTTTTCCCTATTGTTCAACTTAATAAAATATTATTTTTTTAAAAATAAAACAAACAAACAAAGGTGCCTTAGGCACATCAATGAACCCAATAATAACAACAGGGCAATAGCAATATGACGGAACCAGTGTCTCAGTGATGCCCCCCCCCCCGATGTCTTCTTTGGAAGAGTTCATAAAATATTATACAGATATTTCGGTTTTGTTTTGTTCAAAGTGGGATCAGAGGGGACAGACGTGGAGCCGATGAACAACAGAAGACCATAAACACCTTCTTTCTTGCCACAGGCAAAGCAACATAGGCGAGGAGGAGGGTGGGGTTTGAAAGTTTGGCTAACTTTAAAGTGAATAGTTAATTTAGAGTGTCCGAGTATGGCATGCTCCACAGCCTACCTCTCTTCACCTCAAACAGTCCTTAAAAAAATATTTTTAAAATTAAATCCTTCCTTCCCAGCAGCACTCCGCTCTCCTCTCGCGCCATTTTCCAGTTTTCGAGGCCCACCTACCTTTTGCTCCTTCCCCAGCTCGCGCCGTCAAAACCAGCGCCGTCAAAATACTTCCTCCTCAGAAGCCGCCCTTCAGTTCAAAAAAATATTTCCCTGCGCAGGCGCAATTCGCGTTCGGGGGCGGGTTTCCCTTTGTCTGCGTCACTTCCCACCGTTGGCACGAGCCGGCGCTGGTCTCAGTATGAGCATGCGCGAACTGCTCGCGCCCCCTCCCTTCAGACGAAAAACGTAGAGGGAGCGGGGGGATGATATCACCGCAGGCTCCCGAAGAGTAAGCTGGGAACGGAGCTGGAGAGCTGCGCATGCTCACAAATGAAAGGGAAGGGTGGAAAAAAAATGGGCGGGCTTTTGGTTCAGAGCGGGAGGGGTTCGTTTTACAGTCTCTCCGTCAGGCGGGAGGAAACCTTGTTTTTTCTGGTTACAGATAGGTAGCCGTGTTGGTCTGCCATAGTCAAAACAAAAAAAATTCCTTCCAGTAGCACCTTAAAGACCAACTAAGTTAGTTCTTGGTATGAGCTTTCGTGTGCATGCACACTTCTTCAGATACACAGTGTATCTGAAGAAGTGTGCATGCACACGAAAGCTCATACCAAGAACTAACTTAGTTGGTCTTTAAGGTGCTACTGGAAGGAATTTTTCTTGTTTTTTCTGTCATTGTACTCGCTGTCATTTTTTTCTGTCGTTATTTCACGAATAAATCAAGCAGTTTGCCCCATTATAAAATTGAGAAGAATAATCCCATGTGTAAATAAGGCCCTCGCGTAGTTCCACAGAACGCGGGTCAAGGCATACGAAGTGCTTTTGAACATTGAAAATCCCAATAAATGCTTTTAACTACTATCGTTTTAAAAGCGAAACTGTGATTAGTAACAGTTTTGGGAATTAAAAATTGGTTCGTTCTTGGGGCGCTTAAGCTCTGTTCTGGGTTGAAAACCCAGTAAGACCACTGAGCCACCTAGTTCTGTATTGTCTGCCATAGCCAACAGCTGTTGTCCAGAATTTCAGAGAGCAGGTTTTTGGAGCTCAGTTTCCCATGAATGGATTTTAAACTGTTGCTTTTTGCACAATGTGCCTCTACCGGTGGGCCATTCATAAGCCATTTCATGTATAGGGTTCTATATCCCATGTAGTCCTGGTTCTTCTAGTAGTTCAATTCAGTTAATTCTGCAACTGTGCAAGTTAGACCGCATCTGCTTTATACATTCAACGCACCATCATGCCAGCTTAAATCATAACAAATTGCGTCTTTGTATTCAACCCCTTCAGTACTTTGGACAGCAGTCTCTCAGGACTCATCCACAGTTACCTTGTGCCCCATGCTTCCTAGGCACAGGTCTGTGCTTTAAAGGCACTGTGTCCGAGTGTTTTGTTTTGTTGTGTCAGTGCTTTCTAATTTTGACTAATTTTCAGCATCTCTTTCCAAGGCAAATTTATTTAAGGAGTCCTCTGGCGCTGTGGGTTAAACCACAGAGCCTAGGACTTGCCGATCAGAAGGTCGGCGGTTCGAATCCCTGCGATGGAGTGAGCTCCCGTTGTTCAGTCCCAGCTCCTGCCAACCTAACAGTTCGAAAGCACATCAAAGTGCAAGTAGGTTAATAGGTACCACTCCAGCGGGAAGGTAAATGGCGTTTCTGTGTGCTGCTCTGGTTCACCAGAAGCGGCTTAGTCATGCTGGCCACATGACCCACCCGAAAGCTGTATGCCAGCTCCCTCGGCCAATAAAGCGAGATGAGCGCCACAACCCCAGAGTCGGCCACAACTGGACCTAATGGTCAGGGGTCCCTTTACCTTTACTGTGCATGGCAAAGGCTTGTTGCTGGGACAATAGGAGGCTGCCTTATACTGAGTCACACTATGGCTCCATCTAGCTCAGTGTTGTCTACAATGGATGGCAAAAACTCTCCAGGTTTTCAGACAGAGGACATTCTACCTGGAGATACAACAGATTGAACTTGAGACCTTCTGCATGTAAGCAGGTGCTTTACCACTAAGCTATGGCCCTTCTCCCATTGCTTCTGCCCTGAATGAACTGCAAGCCTGTCCTACAGTTCTCCCAAAACTCTTTTGTGGCTATACTCTGCAGGAGGTAATTGGTAGTAGTAGTCGAGCTATCTGAAAAAGTGACTGAAAAAGTCAAGATCCCCATAAGCTTTAAACCCCAGGGATTCTAACAAAATAGTTCAAAATCAACTGGTCTAGAGTAATCATTTGAATTCTTTAATGTTACCATCTGGACATACATGAGCTGGATTCTTCATTGACCTGGGTTTGTTGCCATATTAAGTCTTTAGGTACAGTGCTGTGGGAAGGTCCTGGCTCACAAGCTTGCTGTGAATGCATATTCCATATTTTCCCCATCCAGCAGTGAAAGGAAGGAAATGTGGACCATGTCTCTCAAGCTTAGCCCATCGCTGCTGTAGATGAATGACCATTGCTTATGGAGCCTCTTCTACCTCTGCAGGATGGAGTCTTAAGAGTTGGTCACACAGTCCTTTCACATAGTCATTTTTGAGGTGGAAAATTCACCAGCAGCATTTATTGTGTTGAAGCCCTGATTCTTCCCTTATCCAGGAATATCATCTTAAGGGCTTATTCTAGTATAACAACCCCAGTACTCAGAGAAGTCACATCAGAGCTCATAACAAGTTGAAAGAATCCATGGCCCCATATAATTTGAGGGGTTCCTGGCTCCCTCCCTCTATCATCCAAGAATAAATAATCATGTTACTAATAGCAAGCTGGAAGTCACAGGCAGATGCAAGGTATTTCAATCCTAAGTATGTTTCACACACATGAAAATTCAAATATTTACAAAGACATTTTCCTTCAAATTTCAAAAAGTTTATTTTTATAAATTAATGGGGAGGGCAAAGAAAGGGAGGAGGAGGTGGAGAATGCAAACCAGACAATACCAAAAAAGGCAACATACCATTTAAAAACCTTATTTCCCAGGACAGTTTAACCTTTCTGTTTATTTGCCCTCCAAGCTCAACACTAAAACAATTGAAGCAGCTTCTTAACAGGGACCTGACTATGTCTTGGCTCATCAGTAGATTCCCATGTTGGATGGAAAATGAATCCTGTTCTTAGCATCAAGCCCTCACCCACTCACAGTAACCTGTCACTTATTTAAAGTTAGAGTGAATGGATGGCTGAAAAAGCAGTTTTATGTGTAGGCAGACAGTGAGCAGTCCCTGATCTTTTGACAGCAGCAGACAGTGAGAATTGGGAGTAGAAAGGGTTTGGGGGAATGACTGCTGGGTTTATTCTTGGGTATACAGCATTTTCTGCTGAGATAGGTGGGTGGGATGCACCACTTGGCTCATTTGAAGCAGGAAAAAAAAAGTTTGTCACTCCAGTGCTAGATGCTAGGCAAACAGGGGCAAAGTACTGGGAAGGTGAGCAAGCACAGGGTTGGAACTTCCCATGCCTTTTGCCTCTGAAGAATACAGACGGATGCAGAGGCAGTTCAAGTTAAGCAGTTCAGTCTCTCTCTCTCACTCACTCACACACACGCACACACACACACACACACACACACCACATGGTACATTTATTCCCCTCTAGAACCATTAAATTAAGTCATGTCTACATGTGTGTGGGACACAGGAGAGAGCAGCTCTAGAGGTTTGGAGTGCACAAGCCAAGCTGTTGTGGAGCTGGCAGATTAAGGTTTTCCCCATGCTCCAAAAGGTAACCCTTTACAAAAACCACAAAAAGAAAAAGAAATGCAAATCTTTTCAGGTTTTGGAGAGAGCTGCTTGGAGGGTCCCTGTGTGTCCCTCATTGGCTTCCCACTAGGACACCTTGATTTTTCCCTTTTCTGGGGCTGCCTCCGCAAGAGGTGGCTGCTCCTCTCCATTCACCGAAAGGGTCTTCTTCTCTGGCAACTGCTCCTCAGGCTGACGGGCGATCAGCAAGCGGCAGGTAAGCAGGATTCCAAAGACCAGGGCATGGGCATAGCGCTTGAGTGGGTCACCCACCAGCTGGTGGAAGAAAAGCACAGCCAGAACAAGCAGCAGCAGCAGAAAGTTAGCCACGTCCTTGGGGCGTCCAGGGACAAGTGTCATGACAATACCACAGGCCACCTCTAAGGCTCCAATGCTCTTGCGGAGAATGATGGAGCTGACCCCCATCTTCTTAAGCATGGGCAATGCACGGATATAGCTCTTGTAGGCTCGTTTCTGAAATAAAAGCAGCAACAACATGGGATTCAGTACTGATTGGGATATGACATACAGATCCCCCCCCCCATCTAAATATACAGGCTCTAAGTGGAGTACAGCTTCTACTTGATTAAAGCTGTGAGAGGAAGATCAGTCTTGCCCATAATAAAGCAAAGCCACAAGTCAGATAAAAAGAAGCTGTTAGCACATGCAGAGTTTCTTCCACCATAGTGTTGAAGAGTTCTCAGTCACCTGTGTCATTCACTGAGGCAGAGTCTTTCCACCCTGGCTATTAATTATTGAATATAAAATGTTGTACTGATTAATACAATGAAAATATGTAAGCAGGTTATGTAAAAACAATAAAAATAGAATAAAATAGAATAACATTCAATAACATTTCCTAAAAACCATATGTCACAAATATATGCATGGGGGAAAAAACAAATTACAAAGTAAGAGTCAGAGTTCAAGAAAGCTGAAGTAAGCATGTAAGTTTTTATGAGGAATTTAAAAGTCTTTGCTGCCTCCAGCCTGAAGGAGGGCATTCCAGAGGTTGGGTACTATTACTGAGAAGGCCCATTTCTACACTGTCGCCAAGTGACAATCCACCATTTGTAAAGTGACCTGCAAGGTCCCCTTGGAATATATGAAATATAAGCTTGTTCTGTAACAGAAGAAGTAGCCAGCTAGGTAGTGTGGGCCCAAGTTCTCAAAAACTTCAAAAGTCAACAACAAATATTGAACTTGGCTCAATAGCTGCAGCTGCTTCTCCTCCTTCTGCACGTTTTTTCACAAAAGTGACTCAAAGTGACTTACAGAAACAAACATTGTAAACATGTATACAAGCAAGTGTAAAAACATCCTTACATGCCCACCAGTAACATGTAAATCAGGGCTGATCTAGCCCACCTCACTAAAAAGATGAGCTGAAGAAGAGGCTGC